GATTATTCATTACAGGCTTAGCTGATCATATTGAACTCATTTCTTGATGTTTTCTCTATATTTCAAGTTTCGATTCCGTATCCCTTTAAATAGCCCCCCTGAAGAAGGTGCCGAGCCGGCACCGAAACGTTGGGACCCTACGATTTTTTAGGGATTGGTTGGCGTTTGCCCTTTATTCATTTATAACCCAAAGTCGTTTTCTTTTGGCGCCAACTGATGAAGACGAAAAACACGAACCTTTTGTTGTACGACGATGGCGGCATGGTGCGACGATGCAACTTTTTACCTCATCGCGCTCGTGGAGAAATTCCCCGCTCTGTGGGACAATATATAGATGCATGCCCTTTTCGGTTCACTCAAGTCCTCCGCGTCCTCAATTGTCAACGCTAGGGGCACCGCGGCCAAACGTCTCTTTCGTTCAAACTCCATCTTGGCTCCTCACAAATAGCCTCAAAGCAGCTCGCTGCATGCGTTTGGTGGAGCTGTGAGGTCGAGGGTTAGACAGGCCCGTTCGCTCTGTCGTCTGCTCTTTTAATCCGCCGTGCGGATGCTCATTGCAGTCGTGTGGCCCGCGGGCCGCGAATCACGTGATCAATCAGTCCGCGGCCCGGTCCGTCGTGTGGATGCACCTTTAAGGCGAGAGCGTAATGTCATTCATCATCCGCGTGCAGAAAAAAAGAAATAAAAAAAAATTGAATTTTGAGTATCAGATTTACCATCTCAGAATAATTTAAGTCAGCCTTTTTCATACCTTTGCGTCGACCGAGAGGTACGACATGCCCGCTGAACGCTCCTCTCTCCCAGTGTCTGGGGCATGAACGTCCGCCGACCCCAGACGCGTGTTAGGAAATGCTACAGGAGTAAGACAGTAGCCCGTTATCGGCACTCTAACTCGCGTAACACGCGTTTCTATTAAGGTCGGATCACCTCATTTACAGAGAGAGAGGGGTGAGGGAGGGGGGGGGGCGATGCTTAGGTAAGTACGCCTAAGTAATTCACGCGCGAGCGTTCAGCCGAGTCTCAAATTTGCTTGCCCAGTAAGCGCATGTAAATATGAGAACCGGCTAAAGGATAGCCCGTAATTCACTCACTAGCCTTGGCCAATTTCCTGATTTGCTAGCCCAGAAAGCGGAAGAAAATTTGGGAGCCGGCGAAAGGATAGCCAGTGATTCACGCGTTAGCCTTTTAGCCGTGTCTCAGATTTGCTTGCCCGGTAAGCGCAAGCAAATCTGGGAGCCAGCGAAAGGATAGCCCGTGATTCACGCGCTTGTTCTTAGACGTTTTTCATATTGGGTTGCCTGGTAAGCACAAGAAAATATGGGAGCCGGCTAAAGGATACCCCGTGATTCACGCACTATAGCCTTTCGCCGACTCCCAAACTTGCTTACCCGGTAAGCGCAAGAAAATCTGGGAGCCTGCTAAAGGGTAGCCCGTGATTCACGCGCTTGTTCTTAGACATTTCCCATTATGGCTTGCCTGGTAAGCACAAAAAAATATGGGAACTGGCTAAAGGATACTCCGTGATTTACGCACTAGCCTTCAGCAGACTCCCAGATTTTCTAGCGCGGTAAGTGCGAGAAAATCTGGGAGCCTGCTAAATGGTAACGCGTGATTCACGCGCTTCTCTTAACAGTCTCCGAAATTTACTTGCCGAGCAAGCGTAAGAAAATATAGGAGCTGGCTTAAGGATGGCCCGTTATTCACGTGCTAGCATTTAGCGGCTCCCAGATTTGCATACTCGGCGAGCGCAAAAAAAAAAAAACTGGAAGCAGTCTAAGGGTGGCCCGTGCGTGATTCACGCGCAAGCCCTTAGCCGACTCCCAGATTTGCTTGCCCGGTAGGCGCAAGAAAATCTGGGAGCCAGCTAAAGGGTAGCCCACTGTTGACGCGCGCTAGCCTTTAGCTGACTCCCAGATTTGCTTACCCTGCAAGCACACGGAAATCTAGGATTCGGCTAAATAATAGCCCGTGAATAATTGAGTCGCGTTTATCAACACCTCCTAGATAAAAAGGCTGAAATGTTAGCCTTCTTATCTTTGTCACAAGTGTTGCAGGTGGAATTGGTCACAAGTGTTGCGAGAGCGAGACTCGCCTTCGATCAGCGAGAACGCGAGTCACAGACAAACGCAGACGCAGTACTCTTGTCCCAACTGTTCCCAAGATTCGCCCCTTTGAGCGACGTTGAAAATTAAGGCTTGTTATATATACACGTATTCACCTCAAATTATCAAAATAAAAATAAGTCCGACTTCTCTGGAAACTTAATTTCTTCCCTTTGTGTGTTAAATTAAGATTTATGTAAGTGCCTCTCAAATTATCCTCGTTTTTTCTTTTCTTTTTTGTTCTTTTTTTTTGTGATGACTTATTAGTTTCAAACGCTCAAAGGCACCGTTTCTTCATCCAACAACAAAATCTTCTAAGAAATACTTTCTGCGGCGCATGACTAATACACAAAACTTTCCTCTTTCCTGGTGCGTCAACTATACTTCGTTTCAGCTTCGGTCCAGACGCAGCCAAAGCTACAAGCGCGAGCTTCGGGCTTTCAGCATCCCTGCCTAGCACGCGCGCTCGTGCAGTGCAAGCACTGTTCTGGGCCACATGCTCGCGCTCGTAGCATCGGCTGCGTCTGGAACGAAGCTGAAACGAAGTATAGTTTACATAGCTTGCAAGTGTCGCCATTGCTGAGTACTGACAGTTATTTCTACTTACTGGTCGCTTCGAACTACAACTTCTGTGGTGTAAAACGGAAACGGCAAACCGAACGATCGCGGCGCACAAAGTTCTGGCATGGCCGTGAATGACCTCACATGCAAGCTACCGTATTTGCTCGAGTAACAGCCGCACCTATTTATGAACAAGGCCCTTACGTCTGCTTTCCCGCAAAACACATATAGACTCAATCATCGCGTTGAGCATAAATACATAGCGAATAACTAGATCGAGAACACGATTCTCCGTACAAATGCGATCTTCACAAATGTTACCTTCGCGCGAAGACGTTAACTTTGTCCTGTAAACCGCTGGAATCAAGCTGCTGATCGCGGTGATTGGTAACCCGCATGCTCGGCGGAAAAGCAAACCCTCAGGTTTTCTTGGTAAACAGTTCGGCTATTACTCTAGTAAATACGGTATGTATAGACGGTGTCTAAGCCTCGCACCCCTCCTCCCTCTCCACGCAAACCAGACGCTGTGACGTCCATGAAAACGGGCCAATCAGAGTGCCGAAATTGACCTGCCTACTTATACCCCGCGAGATTTTCCGAATGCGCTCACCGGGCACCCCGAGCAGCAGAAGTTCAGTGTAGAATTTGTGAAGACGTTTCTTTCTTTTATTCCGTATACGTAAACCCAATTAACCGCCGCACAGGAATCTTCCACATAAACTACGTCACGAAGTAATGTCCACGCTACCAACATTGCGAGTCATTTAGCCTCTTGGAAATCGTATGGTGTGATAACTGTGGCTTAGCTTAAATGGAAACTGAAGCAGTTATTTGCTTGAGAGAAACACTTAAACGTGTTTATTTGTCCTCCAAGATCACAAATATCGAGATTACTTTTTTTTATTTTTCAATTTGGTGCACGGAGGCTGCAGAAAATGATTTTCAAAAAACCGCTAAAGCCCCTCCTTTCCGGAGCGTTACGTCATATAAGGAGTTTTCGAAATGTCCGCTCTCGCCCATCTTCAGCGCCTATCGAAGATATATGCACGCGCACACTCGCTATTTTCAGAAAGGTCAGAAAAGAACGTCGCGACTGGTGTAAGTGAGGGGGAATATACCTGGCAAGCTTGTATTTACACGCGCTGCCTACACGAGGGACACGCGCTTGGCGGCCGAAATATATTTTTATGACGTAACGTCTGGTTTTTCTGTGTGTTTTCTAGCGTATAGCTACATCTGGGCGGAGAAAACGAACGTGATAATCAGATTCACGGGAAAAGACTTCTCTAAAATTCACCTCTAACTCTTTTTCTTTTTTTTCAAGAACCACTTGAGATTCTTTTTGACTGCACTATACTGTACACGATTTACTAGGTTATTAAAGCACGCGTGAAGCATGGGGATATGTTAAAGATTTTACTCGTACAGTAGGCCTTGTTCCTGATATGCGAGTAATATCTTTAGCACACTTCCTGCTTAAGGCGTGCTTCGTGTCTTCATCAAAGTGACTGAGTTAGGAAGATTTCATTACGCTCAGTAAGTTCCTACTAGAAAGCCTTTTTCACTAATTGAGAAGTTACTTAACATATTTTAATACGTTATCTTGCTAATTAATATGACTTTTGCAACCCCTGACGCGTGCCAAGACTGCCAATGTGTTTCCGCAAATATTTCTTTCTCGGTCGCCCATTCCAAATAATTATCGAAAGCCGTCGCTTAAAGGGCCTCTGACACGCAAAAAAACAATTTTTGTTTTTCATGCTAGGCGTTAAAATGGCACATCAGGATATGAGGACGCGGTAAGCACGAGGAGGGATACAACTCACGTGACTTCCGGCGATGCCTCCCTTCTGACCGCCCCGACACCTTGCGGTATACTGTTACGCCACAGTGCGCTGGCGGGAACATTGGATTAGGCCTCGTATTTCTATTTTTTATTAAAGAAAAACTACGCAACTCTATAGCGAAACAATTTTTTTGTAATGTCCTGATATGCCGATTCAACGGCTAGCAAGAAAGAAAAATTTAGGGGGGAGGGGGCGTGTAAGAGGCCCTTTAAACACCAAGTATAGTGAACGGAATGTTAAATATAAAAATGGCTTAACGCTCACAGTAAGCGTGGAGCACTATTCGTAGAGTAAAAAAAACAGTCCGGGGAATTGCTATAAAATATTATTGTGCAAGGTATGATTCACGTAAACATACGCCTTCAATACGCCGCATGTGCTACACACTGCTTTATTGAACCCGCGCGGTCACGGAATACAGCGGTGGCTCTTCTTCTGTGCAAACCTTCACCAATATGCATTGACTTGCAACGACTTGGAAGGATGGCAGTCAAATTTCTCGGTGCTCTGCAGAGTAGGCCTGTCCGGTCGGATAAACGCGGCTCAAAGCCACCTTGCCCTGTAACAGAGGCATCGTTATCGAGGTCAGGCTAGCCTGGAAGGCAATTGCAAATACCGGACAAAACATTAAAGGGGTCATGAAACGATATCAGGCTGGTATGTTCATAAATTTACAGAGGTGCAGTGATCCTAGTCTGGCCCAAGTATACTAGAACGGACCAGCATGGATTCAAAAGCTTCTTGGTCACGGTGAAATTGCGAGGATAAAAGAGGACTATTTCTTTCAACCATTGCCTTCACGAAGCTCGATGACGTAATGGTGGGATCGAAATCACTCTCCGGACGACAGTCGAGCGCAGCTCATGGATTAGACACGAGAACTGCGTGAGCACTCGACTTCGGTTCGTAACAATCAATGCCTTGGCGGACACTCGAGTAGTGGCTCGTGGCCAACTACTGTGGTGATAAACCGAACTCTAACAATGCCTGGAGCTCCAGCACGCGTCTTCTACTTTTCCGACCACCGCGCGTGGCTATGATTAACTTTGGGGGCATAGGGTAGGCACTTGGCGTCGTGGCCGCTTGTTCGGGCTCCGAGTTGAGGGGATGAACGATGCTCATATTTCTCGAATTTTTTTTTTGCCGACTGCCATTGTTTAGAAAGGGAAACTAAGGCAAGTGTATTCGGTTATTAACGTTAGGGAGTGATTGTGAGTAGTATTTAGCGAAAGTAGAAAAATTGTTTCGTGGCCCCTTTAGTTTCATTACCTTACGTAACATTCGACCCTAATGTGCGAGTCAGATGAAACGGCAAGGACAATAAAGTGGTTTTATCCCGCCCAAACAGCTTCTTTTTAAAAGCGCCCAATCTACTGCCGCTCCAATTCCTCGAGTCCGCCATCACTTGATGACATGCTCAGCAGCGGATGGAGCCCACTTTAAATAAACCGCAAAAAATAAATTTTGTGTTCTAACATTGTAATTTAGCGCGAAGGTGCGGCTGGGTGGTGCATTTGTCTTTTGGAACTATCAAAAATCAAACTTTTTTCATCGAGAGTTACAATTATAAAACAAAAATGTTTTACGACTCAGTACGCATTTAGGCCTTCGTGGGGCCAATCTCAAAAGAAACATTGTTGTACAAGTTTCAGAGGTTTGTTTCGCCAAAGAAAGCAAAGAGAGTAAAGACAATAATACTGATCTAGGCCCGTTCCCTGTTTTGCCAAATAAAAAACAAGCTTCAGTGGCCCACAGGAGCGCCTTTTTTTTTTTTTCTTAGCAAAAATGCCTAAAGAACCGACGTACGCTTCTCGCTTTCCACTTTTGTCCGCCTCCACCTTTCCTATATCCTCTCCACTTTTTTTAGCTTGTCCCAACTTGGATTCCCTCGCAGCTTAGGAGAGAGTGAGCGCTGAGGCGATTATATTCCTTGCAGAAGACTGAGGTTGTACGTCTGCCTTTAACAGCATGATGAGTCATACGAAATTTTGTTTTTTAATTTTGTAGTAATTTTGGGTTGAGGCAACTATGCTCTTTAACATTTTCAAAACATATTGCACCACTCAGCCGTATTCTTCAATTCTATATATATATATATATATAATCGGGCCCAATTTGCTTTGTAGCTACAATGCAGGCCACTTCACCTATGTATTTAGCTGAAAAGTTTACTTTTAGTCGTCTCTTATCTGGCATTTGTTGTAGATACCATAAATATATAAAGCATTGAAAGACAACAAATAATTGGCGACCTTCCTCTTCATAGAGGAAGATCCCTAAAACACGTCAGGCCGTTACTTTTGTATTAAACCTTTCGAGCCACAAAGATCACGTCCATCAGAAACGTCTAAGTGGACACGAAGGAAAATGTGAGAAAAAGTTGAAGATAGGTTATGTCCTACGTAGGCTGACGAGCGTCTTGTTTGAGTTGAGGAGCACAGAAAGAATGAGCCAAAGGTAAAACGAGGTACAATTTCTTATAAAAAATTGTACATAGGTCGTCACTTGTCCCACCTATGTCTTCTTATTTGGTAATATTCAATTTAGGCATACTTCGACAGACCTTCCACTTAAAGCTGGCAAAGGTATTGAACCGGACATAGTGAGAGTCCGGCGATGTGCATCACCACACTGATTGGTCACGCACGCCAATAGATGCGGTAGCAATTTTCGCGCGCCGAAGACACGGCGTTTCGTTTTAGTTTACCGGCATGTTGCGCTGATCTGCGGTCATTCGTTTTGTTTTAGCGCTTGCAAGTGTCTTACTTTGTTCCGTCTACCACGAGTGGAGTCTACGCGGACACTCGGGGTCCCGGAGTGCTGTTGTCAACGGCTGGCACGCCATTTCGTAAACTGGGCCGCGTCTCGAGCTCGAACGACTTCGTCGAAAACCTTGGGTCAGGTTCCAGTGGTTCGTGATATTGGCTGGAGAGGCACCGGGCGCAACTGGAGTATATGCGCCGACGTGGACTCGGCATCGTTGGATTCTCCGCGAATCGGGTTCCCAGGACGCCCAAATGTGTCTGGCGCGCTTTTCGTTTGGTTTGAGGCTTCTGTCTACGCTCTGTGGAGAGAGTGTTTGCTGTTAAAGGGATACTACAACGAAATTTCGGCGCTCATTTTTTGGTCTATAGACGCTTTACACACGCGCCAGATTGAGCCGCCATAGCCGCCCTTTTCTTGTCTTACCGAGATGCCGAGCCACTGAAGCGGGCGTTGACGGGTCTTCACAAGGGCCTATGCTGGGCACAAGAACACAGTAGCATCTTAAATGGCAATAACCTGTCCTGCTGCGGTAATGATGAAGTGAAGCGAACGGAATAAGAGGAAACAAAAACTGAAGGTCAGTTATGGCGGCGCCCATGAACAGCTGCTGTAAAGCGTCTATATGTGTTCAAAAAAGCACCATCAAATCGAACATACCAATATCTTCTTAAAAAAGTCACGAAAAAGAATCTTAAAAAGAATTAAACGATTAGCAAAGAGCACTTGGTGGATGTCGCTAACGCCTCGCTTCTAATACCCATCTAGGAACCTTGGCAGCTAGTGACGGAGGTTGTCTCACCTCCGGCCACGACGAGAGAAGAGGGGCAGGAGGAACTCCCCTCTTCCCGAGAATGCCTTTTGTGTGTCACAGAAGTCTCTATTGTCCCCCTACAAGATTATAGAAGATTAACTCGTCACTCAAAATTCGTACAAAAGCAGCCGCTTCGGCGGCTGGAACGACAAGGCCATCCTCTCGACGTCAGCCTCGCCGTAGCTTTGCTCGTCTTGAGACGACGTACGTCACGATTGCGTTGGATGTCACGTGCTCTAAGCTGGGCCTTCTCCGAGCGCTTGCCAGAGTGGGCCGTTTATTACGAAAAATACAGCCACCAGACTCAAAATACAAACGTGCGATTGTCTTTTACGGATATTGTGGATCATATTCAACCTATTTTTGAACACGGCGGGAATATTTCAAATTTCGTTGAAGTATCCCTTTAAAGGCACGTTTAGACAATTCTCGCCGACACCGAGAATGAGTATATCTTCCCTGTAATATAAACATATCGGTGTTTAGATTCTCAACAGTACGGCTCGATCTTAATGCCCCCTCGGCGACGAAGCGATGATCTCTCGTTCGATTGGTCAAGAGTGCGTTGGTGTACCTAATCGGATTCGGACTAAACCTTCATTGAACAGGGCAGGTCCTGGCGCACTGTCTTAACCCCTGACCGAGCGTGTGAGCCTCGAGTTCGAACGAAATTGCGAGGCCCCACTGTTCTCCTCCCACGGTGCGCCGCGTTACCTGCCGAACGCGGCAGCCCTTGTTCGCCGGCTACTTAGCCACCGTCCTCACCGTGCGCGGTAGGACACTTGACCTTGTGTCTCAGAATCGTAAGCCTGTGAGGCCAGTTATTCCCAGTCGCTTCTTTGTATTGTGTAATCCGGGAAAGTCCAAGTAATTTTTTGTTATTTTAATCAAACACTAAACTTCTTGGTTGTCGCACTCCCAAATCCTCCCCCCTCCAGCAACCAGCATCGTCCCACGGTCCCCCGGTCCCCGACAGTAGACACCCCCAGGATTCCCTTCGAGGTCCGGGACAACAAATTTGTAACTATCCTCTTTAGACATTTTAGACAGACCTTCAACTAAAAGTTGGCAAAGTTTTTGAACCGGACATGGTGAGAGTCAGTGTTGCGGAGTCGCCACTCCGGAGTTGGAATGATTCCGGAATCATTCCAACTCCAGAACATGTGTGGCAGTTTGACATGTGTGGCAGCTTTCATATGTGTGGCAGTTTGAGACGCTCAAGTTTGTACTACCCAAAACAACTACTAAGGAGTCCTTTTTCGCAGCGTCCCCTGGGCAACGCAGGAGGCCGATATCCAGAAAAGCGACGGGCCGCCGCCATGTCTCTGCTCGTGCAGAAAAGCGCGTTCAAGTGCAAGCCTGCCAAACTATGTACACACGCAAGATGCACGTGCTTGCACGCATAGGGCATCACTCAGTCTCCATCTTGACGTCACGGAGCTGCGGCGGCGCTGCAATCGCGCAGGAGCCGGGTGCACGGTGTGGGCAGAAGGGCGCACGTTTTGCTTAGGAGGTGTCATAGCATTCCAGCATGCCGTAGAACTGTGTAGCCGTTAACTGCACCGGAAGGTACAGCAAAAGTATGGGAGTGAGTTCCCACAAGTTCCCGGCGGACTCTCAAAGGCGCAGAAGATCGACAATATCCGCGGATCGAAAAGAATGGTCGCCTCGCGCGGACGACCGTTTGTGCGGCAAGCACTTGCTGATGGCAAGTGTGGCTTCCATTTCAATATCCGTCCCGAGGCTTGCTGATGGCCAGGAAAACCATCGTCTGATCGAGACCACACAGATTTTGTTACCACGGTGTTGGCGCACAAAGCACCGACCAAGCGCTTGTCGGTGGTTTGCTACGCCCGTGCTACCAAGCGGAAGGAAATCGGCGGCCGAATGGACAAAGCATTAAGGATTGTCGTGCTTTGTGGTCATGAGGGCAAAAAAAAATATTATACCTTGACTCGAAGAACGCTGTATGTATTTAATCA